TGCACAGCATGTTACACCATATGGTGAATAAAATAGTTTGATTCAAAGATAAACATTATTTTTTGAACAAGAGAAACCTTTTTCCATTCCCCTTACTATTTTCAAGTGTAACTTTGTTAAATCTAATGTTAAGCAGATACTTTTTAGATTTGTAAACATTTTGTTTTCTCTAAGCTAATAACGAGGTTGTTTTCTGATGCTTCCATATAAACGTTGAGGTTGTAAGGAAAAGTCATAGGATCATTATTGCACCATCTGTTGCAGCTGGTTTTGTTTTAGTCACGTGCTTTTCAGTGTTCTTACTGAGCTATCAACAAACTGCCAATTAATTATGAAAACCTAACACGTCGTCAAAGGTTATAGTACTGAGAAAGTGAGATCATGAGTCAGTATATCATGGGATTGATTACTACTGATTTATAATTTCCAGAACACCTTCTGTGAAGGAGTGAACTTTTAAAAACATAATAATGACATCTTTGGATCCTGTAGCTAAAGAGAAATAAGAAAATAATTATTTTCTGAGCATCTATCAAGAAGTGTCATCTTTTTATTTAGGTTGTTATTGATGGCTATCTAATTGGATTCAATTGTTTTTCTTACTAATATCTTAATGAAGAAATCTTGCAAGGTAGTCATTCACAGAAGATAAATGATGAAACTTGTCTTTGTTTTTTGTCTTGTCTAAAACTTACTGCTGAGCTCAATGCCTATCTGCAATAGAAATCAGGGTTCTCCCCACCCTCCCAAAAAGTAGCTGACCTTTTTAAAAAAGATTTAATTAATTAATTAATTAATTAATCTGAGAGAGAGTAGAGGAGGGGCAGAGGGAGAAGAAAAGATAGAGAATCTCAAGCAGAGTCTTCACCTAGCGCAGAGCCGACTCAGGGCTCGATCTCATGACCCTGAGATCTTGACCTGAGCCAAAACCAGGAGCTGGATGCTCAACTGACCAAGCCACCCAGGTGCTCTGGTATCTGACTTTTAATATCAGTTGTTTCATTTTTTTCTGTGACACCAAATAAATCACTCCAGTTGTCTGATAGCTTTTGATGAGATAAAAAATATATATTTTTATTTTTATATTTTAAATTTTTGTATAACTTTGTATTAATAAGAAATTTTAGTCATGAAAATATAGGATTATCAATGAAAAAAATTAATCATGACTAATAATATGAGAAGTAAATTAAAATGGTATAAATAAGTTGTATATAATACACTGAAGATTTGCATGTTGACTTGTTATCAACTTTTTGTGAAATTTCTTAAAGCAAACATTCCTAGCCTATTGCTTTTTGGCAGAAAAAAATACCTCAGGAGATTATTGATCTAATTATCAATATGTGGAAGTTTTCTCACCCAAACTTGTGAGATTTTCTTTTGTCATCTATTAAAATTAAGTAATTGTTTATTTAATCTATATTTTATAGTATATGAAATATTTGTAGCTGTGTGGAGTATATGGGTGTGTGAATGTGTGTGTGTGGTGGGGGAGAGAGTGAGAGAGGAAGAGAGAGAGAGGACAGAAAAATAAAAACCCTTAAATGAGGAGCTTAAGAAATTTATGACCCAACCTTTACCCTGTCATAATGAGACAAGGTTGTTGCCATGCCTCTTTCCTACCTTTCCTGTTTGACAACCGAAGAAACATAGTATTCAGAACCTCTAATAAAATATCCCTTCAGCTGAGTTGGTCCTGTTTGCTTTATTCTTGGGCTCTATCTTAGATTTAAAATATTCCATCCAGTTGTCTTATAAACAAATATTTACCTCTGAGAGAAGTATTAGACTATACATCAAAAAGACAGCAAAGGGATGGATTGCAAATGAAATTATTTAGTTTTCTGGTTCGGTTTCAGATGTTTTGTAGTGGTAGTGAAATAGGAATTGTATTCAATATTGTCAGAATGCAAGAAAACACAATCTTTTTTTTTTTTTTCTCTTGAATGCAGGATGACATTCACTTATGCATTCATTTATTGAGTGTCTAGTAGGTACCAGACAACTTGCTAGGCCCAGATGATATAATGCTGAGAAAAACAAATGAAAAACCAATCACCAGATCCCTGTATTCATGAAGTTTGAAGGAGAAGAGAGATATATAATGTAGTGAAGAAGTCCACCATTATTTACATAATCATATTAATGATGTATAATTACAAATGGTTGTTCTGAAATGAAGGAAAACTGATCTATGAGCATGAGTAACTAAAAAATGTAGCTCAAGCTTGATATTAGGGGAAAGATTCTTAGGAGATATGTCTGATATGTGAAGGTCTTTGGGAGATAAATGGTGTGGGAAAAGGTATACTTCCAGTAGAAGGAAGTAAGGTACAAAAGTCTCATAGTGAGAGTGGACCAAGTTCAGAGAACTAAATGAAGGTCAATGTGGCTGGAGAGCAGTTTTCTAGGAAGAGAAAAACATTCAGAGCCTAGACTTTGTGGGCACTTGCAGGATAGGTCAAGGATTTTGGTTTTTATCTTAAGGGTGAATGAGTATATCCTAAAGTTATTAACAAGGGCAATAAAGTCATAACATTTGCCTTTGGCATGACCATGTGGGCTATTGCACAGGGAATGATTCAGGGTGCATAAGCATGAATGGGGATGATCAGTAAGGTTGTGCTTGGGGCAGTTTAGGGGAGATGTGGTGGGGATAGCGTGAACTCAGGTTTTGACAGTAGTCTGGAAAGAAACTGATTTTGGGAGATACATTTTGAAGGCAGAACTAACAGAGTTTAGGGATGAGTTTAGTATGAAAGTTAAGGGAGTCAAAGGTGTCTCTTCATTTCTGGCTTGACTAAATGGGTGAATGAAAGTCTGGGAAAGGGTGACTTTATGTGGGGCTTGTATACCATGAACTGTTTTTGAAATATACATGTGGCTGACTCTTCTAATCTGGAGTTTGGATGAGAAGCAATGATGCAAATGTTCCCCCTGCTATCCCAAACTACAGCATACCTAAGTATTCTTTCATAAGGAAAAAAAAAAAAAAAGCATAGAAAGAAGCAATTATCATTAATTTATATGAAAAATTTTTGAGTGTTCTCAGACCCCCCTCTTAGGCTTTTCTGATACCTTAGGACACCTCTTACTACTGGATGCCAAAATAAATCCAGATAAAACACAGATGCTCACAGGCACAGTTCAAAATCCTGGTGGCTTGGTGCTGGGATGCTGAGTGTAGTTCTCCCTGGGAAGGAGCTTGGCAGGGCAACACTCTCTACTCCACCTTCTGGAGGAATGCTGCTTCTGGGCTGACTTCAAAACAAATGCTGAGCACTATTTTTAATTCTCATATTTTTGTTTGTTTGTTTATTTTTGTGAAAACAAAAATCCTTTTCAGATTTCTTTTGGGTAGTAAAAACAGGTACTGCTAGTGTAGTTGTTCCTTAAAAACAAAGTGGTCTAAAAGCATGAGGTAGCTGTAATTAAAATGATAGATGATGTTGAAATGTCTGGCTGGATGGAGGGAGCAGATAAGTGGCTAAGAATGAAATTTGATAAGCTATAATATTTAATGGTGAAGCAAAGGAGTGGGATGAACCTACATAAGGACTGAGAAATTTTCATAAATTCTAGAGAGACAGAAGAGAGGGGTATCTTAAACACCAAGTAAAGTGACCATTTCTTGAAACAAAGAAATATTACTCTGTTTTTTTAATTAACATATAATGCATTATTTGTTTCAGGAGTACAGATCTGTGAATCATCAGTCTTACCAAAGAAATGTTACTTTGATAGAGTGATAGAGATAGAAACATGCTTGAGTGAACTAGTTTCAGAAATTAGCTAGAATGATATACACAACTCTTTCAGAATATTCAGGAAGTAGAGGAGAGGAATTATCTTAAAACCTGGACGATTTGAGCATCTTTTAAGATGGAAGTTAAAAACTGGGTGGGGACGTTTAGACAACAATAACTACCAGAGTTAATTAATTGGTTAAGTTTCTCAAGAAGTCATATGTACAGAACAGGGGGAGAAAGAGCTTCTTTATTGTCACAATAGGGATAAAGATATGTTGGTGAAAGTGATAAAATGGGATATGGTTTAATTCAAAGCATAGATTTATTTTTTGGAAGAGGGCTTAGAGTTTATATAATAAATTCATGCCATTTTACAATTTCTCTGGTATATTTAAAGACACAGAGCTGTGGACAGACTCACATGGCTTTTAGTTTAAAACACTTATTAAGAAATTTTTAGGAGAATATTCTTTTAGCTAGAATTGGGAAAATGTATTCATAACTCAGTATAACCCTCTGCCTTATTTTTGTTGTACCTCAGTTTATTAAGTACCTACCATAGAAGACCACCTTGTCAAACTCTTACCAGCCTTTGCTAGTGAATTATAATAGCTATAGTTTTATTAAGTGTTATTCATCGAATGTACTCAAAAACAAGTTCAAAATTTATAAATATGTTGATAATTGTACTCTATATGGATGCTTAGAAATTTAGCCATGGTTTAAAGTTTTGGGTTTTTTTTTTTTTTTTTCATTTTCTTTCAGCTTAATTTTAAAATATTTTTTAAAAGATTTTATTTATTTATTTGAGAGAGAGAGAGAGCATGAGAAGTGGGAGGGTCAGAGGGAGAAGCAGACTCCCTGCCGAGAAGGGAGCCAGATGCAGGACTCGATCCCAGGACTCCAGGATCATGACCTGAGCCGAAGGCAGTCGCTTAACCAACTGAGCCACCCAGGCATCCCCAACTTCATTTTAATTAATTTTCCTCCATAACTTTTGATTGGCATTTATATCTCTATGTATTTAATGTTGTGTAAGGCTGTGTGAGTGAACAAAACAGTGTTTGTTATGATCAAGGGTATCATAATCTTTATTTGGAGATGCTTACCTATTATGGATTCAGTTGGCAATTGCCTACAAGTTTTGATTAGATCTGTGGAGATTTCTATGCACTATTGAATACTTCTTGAAGAATTTTTTCAATATATAAAACATTTTCTGATTACTTCCAATGCTAATTTTCACAGGTGAGAACCAATGAGAATGTTTAAGTGCTGGTCAGCAGTTTTGGTTCTTGGATTCATTTTTCTGGAGTCAGAAGGAAGGCCAACCAAAGAAGCAGGATATGGCCTTCAATCCTACCAACCTCTAATCAGATTGCGACACAAGGTACAGTCAGCATTCTGAATTTGCTCACAGTGCCTAGCAATTATGAACTGAACTATTAGGTGTCTGCTTTATTATTATATACTATATAGTATATACTATATAGTATATAATATTAATATTATAATAATATTATATATTACTATTATATAGGAGCACTTATTGCAGTATATGCCTTCAGAATATAATTTCTGTATAAAAGTGCACATTTTAAAACATGAAATTGTAGCAATTAGGAAATTTATAATTTGAGGAATTAAATATTTCTTAAAGTATAGAGATGACTCATTGAAAAAAATCATTTAAATTTACATTAAGTCATGGTAATAGTGACATAAAAATAAGTAAATATGTTAAGACCCTATCAACTAGACAGACTAGATAGTTTCTGTTATTTCCATATTAAATTTAGAACTTTTTAAACTAAAACCTTTTTATGTTTTTTAATTTGAAGTAAAAGTAAACAAAAAAGATGTCTATACCACCTGGAGTTATATAGGCTGGTAAAGAAATTAGTATTTATGGAAATCATTAAACGTTTTAATTTCATAAAAAATCATAATTTTAAGTTTTTAATATTGAGGAAATACTTCACTTCCTTATGTTAAATATTTTCAAGTATAAAATAAATAGGCTTTAGGCATACTATAAATTATGTAATGTACTTATATTAATTAAGCTGGTACTTTTATTTTAATAATAGGGCAACTTTAATACTAAAGTAGCTATTTATTCAATCAAATTAAAAGTTTATAATGCATTTTGATTTTCATTGAAAGTAGGAATCAAGATGAAAAATGACATATTAATTATGGAGAAAATATATATCTTAAAATTTCTTGTTATTTGTCTTAAAAAAAAAACTTGAAATAAATATAAGTAGAGTTGCCCCCTCAACAATATTAAGTGTTAGGGATGCTGGCCCCTGCATAGTTGAAAATCCATGCATAACTTTTTTTTTTTTTAAGATTTTCTTTATTTATTTGACAGAAAGAGAGAGAGAGCACAAGTGGTGGGGCATCAGGCAGAGGCAGAGGGAGAAGCAGGCTCTCTGTTGAGCAGAGAGTCAGCATGGGACTAGATCCCAGGACCCTGCGATCATGACCTGATCTGAAGGCAAGTGCTTAACACACTGAGCCACTCAGTTGCCCCACACATAACTTTTGACCCCCAGTTCTTAAATATTAATAGCTTACTGTTGACTGAATCCTTACTGATAATATAAACAGTTAATGAACACATATTTTGTATGTTATGTGTGTTATATAGTATATTCTCACATTAAAGTAAGCAAGAGAAAAGAAAATGTTATTGAAAATTAAAGGAAGAAAAAATACGGTTACAGTAAAGTACCATATTAATTTAAAAAATTGTGTGTAAGTGGGCCATTCAGTTCAGACCTGTGTTGTACACATATATGTGTAATACACATATATTTACATTGCATCTGTACACATTGCATATATTTTGCTGAAATTCTTTCATATTCTAATGTTTTGATAAAATCACTAACCTTGACTGGAATTTTTATGTGCCAGATCATAGGGTAAGCTCTTAAATGTACTATTTTATTTAATCTCCAAAATAGTATTATAAAGATGTACCTTTTTCATTTGATATATGAAAAGTCACAATTTTTAGAAATGTTAAGGGATTTTATGAATGCCTACATTTATGAAGTATATTAATTGACTAAGGTAACATGCAGTACAGTTTTGATAGCCAGAAAAAAATAAAAAAAGTAAAATATTTAAATATACTTCAGTTACAAAAATCATTGTTGAAATTTAGTCACATGTAAATGTAAGTAAGTTTCTGGATAAATGCAGGTGGAGAATTGACCTTGTTTCACTATCTTTCAGTTATCATTTGTGTCCCCTACCTCATAGACTAACAATCAGTTTTATCCTATTCCAAAGCATAGAGATAAGAACTCATTTATGAACACTCTCAAAACATATTATTAATGCAATATATTGGCTCATTTTGTTGCATACCAGTGAGTATGTATTCTGTGCTGTTTGTCTACCCTAAGTTATGTCTTGAGGTCAGGAACTATGCCTTTCTAATCCTTTCATTCCTGATGCTGTGAACATAATAGATAAGGTTTAATTGTCTCCATGGCAGAAAAGTAATGGCAGAATGTATGGCTATGCAGTTTTTATTATTCTCCTGCTAAATATAATACCACAGGTTTTTCTGTGTCAGTGTACATTTATAAACAAACTATTTCGAATTAAATTTGGATGTTGAAGATAAATTATCATGCATTGCTGTGAGATTTAGTAAACCTTTATTTTTTTTTTAATTTTTTAGAAGATTTTATTTATTTATTTGACAGATAGAGATCACAAGTAGGCAGAGAGGCAGGCAGAGGGGGTGGAGAAGTAGGCTCCCTGCTGAGCAGAAAGCCCGATGCGGGGCTCGATGTGGGGCTCCATTCCAGTACCCTGGGATCATGACCTGAGCTGAAAGCAGAGGCTTTAACCCACTGAGCCACCCAGGTGCCCCTTTAGTAAACCTTTAAAGAAAAGAAACAACATAATGAATTAAGCCTATTTTAGAAACACTAATAATTACCAAAAATGATCGAAGTTACCTCCCAATCTTTTCCATCTATGTGGCTCTTACCTCTAAATAGTTAAAAGTAATACATGATTACTGGTATTTAAAAGCAGAGAGGTAGAATGTTAGTAATACCTAACTACTAAATGATTTAAGACAGAGGTAAAATTAAGCTATTAAAGTATTTGTGAAAGTGTGTGTGTGAAAGCTTGTATTTGAGGAGTAAAGAAGTACCCAGAGTTGTACAAGTTCCTTTCAAAACCTCACCAAGTACTTTCTGCTCACTAGCAACATCCCCATGCAACTGGGCTCATATGCAACGTTATTGGTGAAACCTCCCCAAACCGTAATTAAAAATAGAAGAGTCACAGACATTGCTTATCTCCCTTTTGAAATATATTTTCACCATTTGTCATGGTTATATGATATATTATATATATATATATATATATATATATATATATATATATATGATTTGTTTATTTGTTTTTTGGATGGTTCCTTCCTTCCATTATGATGTGAACTACTACTCATCTTGCTATACCATAACATCTAGAATTGTGTTTGGGCCATAGTCAACACTTCATAAATACATATGGAATTAATGATTCCATCTGCTGACTAGAATAAACTGAAATCATATATATATATCTGATATATAATTATATTATATAGTTTATTATATTATATAGTTTATTACAATGAATAATACATTAATTAGGTATAATTTGTTCTGTTTATGAGAGTAAAATCAACAGAGCAATATGTAATAAAATATTTAAAATAAATTATTTTAATATCATTACAAAGATAAATTCCCTATTCTTTGTTATTTTTTAACCTTCAGTTTCATTGAAATTGCAAAGAATATGTCTATATTTTTGTAAGACTTAGGGAATGGATAAGAAGATTTTCTATTTGGACTAAACTCTACTGTTTTGAATATATTTATTGGCTAGAAAACAATAAAATAAACTAATACATATGATAGATCTTGATATATATTAGCTATTTTCCACATTTTTCCCAGAGAGGTGTCAGTACTTTGGGTGTGAACAAATACACGTTTAGAACTCATGTTTACCAAATATTTGCATGCCAACTATATAATGAATCCTCTCTAGGGACCAAAAAGTGAAATGTGGTTTATTTGTCAGATTACATAGAAATGTTGTAGATTTAAATATAAATATATATGTACAAATTTATATCATTTACAACTCAGGTATACATAAATGTGACTGAAAACATGTTTGTGTCATAAATATGAATACCATATACATCCATCATGTTAATTATAGTCCACAGTATATCTGAAGGAGTTGATCATGTGTTTCATCTTTGTGTTTCTCCAACAGGCATTTATGGAATATCAAATGTAGGAATGTAGTAGCTTTATTTTATACATTAGGTCTTTGGATTATTGAATATTCCTAAGTGCTTTTATGGTTTTTCCATAGATGAGGAAACTGGAGTTCACAAATATATAGTAATTTTTAATGCCACGTATCTAGAAAGTCAGAGAAAGGATTTAGGATTTAATACAAAAGACAAAATACTTTTTTTTTAAAGATTTTATTTATTTATTTGACAGACAGAGATTAGAAGTAGGCAGAGAGGCAGGCAGAGAGAGGAGGAAGCAGGCTCCCTGCTGAGCAGAGAGCCAGATGCGGGGCTCAATCCCAGGACCCTGGAATCATGACCTGAGCTGAAGGCAGAGGCTTTAACGCACTGAGCCACCCAGGCACCCCCAAAATACTTTTTTTAAAAGATTTTATTTATTTATTTGACAGACAAACTATTTTGAATTAAATTTGGATGTTGAAGATAAATTATCATGCATTGCTGTGAGATTTAATAAACCTCTATTTTTTAAAAATTTTTTTAAAGATTTTATTTATTTATTTGACAGACAGATCACAAGTTGGCAGAGAGGCAGGCAGAGAGAGAGGGGGAAGCAGGCTCCTTGGGGAGCAGAGAGCCTGATGCGGGGCTCGATCCCAGGACCCTGGAATCATGACCTGAGCCGAAGGCAGAGGCTTTAACCCACTGAGCCACCCAGGAGCCCCAAGAGACTAAATACTTAATGCAGAGTATGCAATGAGAACTTTTCATAGTAATTTGACCTATGTACCATATATTTCCCATTCTCCCCACGTTTTTATCACATGTAGGAAGATGGGATTCTATGTCTCTTTGTGGTTGGATGGGACTATGTGTCTAGTTGTGGCCAATGAGTTAAGAGAAGTGCCATAGAATGCATTTGGGCTGAATATTTGATCACAATTATAAAATGTTCCTGAACTCTCTTTTTCATCTAGCATTAAAAACAGCATCTGTTCAAGGTAGTAATTGCTTAATCATCCCGAGTTTCTAAATAACTAGGATTAGTAAAACACCCTGGCAATTAGTGATTGTCTTGAAATGTGAAATGAGAG